TGCCCCACAGGCTTACGAGGCCGCCAGGGACCACCAGCGGATGCGAGCCCGTCTTCACCCCGCCTCCTCCTCCCAGCCCCAGCGCACGAGCTACGCCTCCTCCTTCTCTCACAGCACTTCCCAGCGCCTCGATCTCTGTGAGGCCGTCCACTATCACTTGGAGGACTCTACCCTCCCTGCAGCTGAGCGCCTTCAGCTCGCGCTCTCTGCCCTCTCTCGGGCACGCAGCCGCCCCGGTCACGCTAACGCATCGCCCCCCGAGGTCCCTCAGGAGGACCTCCCTCAGGGCTTCGTCCCTCCTCGTGGTGTCCTTTCCCCTGAGGAGCGCGCGGCTATTCTAGGCCAGCGTGGGTGTTTGCGCTGCCGCTTGGACGGTTATACCTCCTCGCGGTGCCCTTACACTACCGCCCTCGACCGCCACTACGCTGACCTTTCTCGTCAGCGTCGTGCTCAGTCCCCCCCCGGCGCCTCACGTCCCCGCGGCGCCTTCTAGCCACGGTGCAATGTGCACCTGCGCCCTCCTCAGTAGTGGGCTTCCCGACATCTCCGTCGTGGTTCGCCCCTCTCGCTACTGGAGTTGAGGTATCGCAGGACTCAACAGAGTGTACTCAGCCCTCTGTCGCAGTACCGTCTGCGCCTCCGCAGACCACCGTCTCCCCTCCTCCCCCGCCGCGACTACCGACGCGTCGAGCCATTTGCTCAGCCCATTGCAGCGAGCAGCTTCCTACTCGCGAGGACGTTGTGTCCTCTCTTCTGGACTTGAGCATGCTCCAGGCTCGTCAGGAGCGACTCACCCTCCATGTCGCTGCACTGCGTTGCCTTCTCGCCATCCTCTCTGACCCTGATCGCACCCTCCCGATCATCCCCGTATGACTCGGGACCTCCACGAGGGTGTACTCAGCGCTGTGGGATTCCGGTTCTCAGGGCGACTTCATTCACCCACGCGTGGTGAAGGAAGCCCGCTTACCCACGTCAGGGTCTCCGACTCCCATCTCCGTTACCCTAGGGGATGACAAGACCCAGTGCTTCTTCGATTAGACAGTCACCGACCTCCCTTTCTTCCTCACTCTCGAGCCGACTGAGCGTTCCCCGACGTCTCTTCGCCACCGCTCCTCTGCACATTTCGATGTGATGGAGACGGGGTACGACTTCATTCTCGGCACTCCGTGRTCTCGTCGGTTCCGCAGCACCGAGGCCGATTGGGCGACCAACACTCTCGTTCTCAAAACGAAGTGTGGACAGACGTATCGCGTACCTTTCATAGGTACCACGGCGACACCACGCCCCGATCCTCCTCCCCCGGAGCCTTCAGTGCCCACACCATTTCCCTCTATCACTGTCACCTCGCCTCGGCAGTTCGCTCACTTCATTCGACA